AGAGAGGGCTGCGGTGTGCTGTAGACCTCGATCTAGCCCGAAACCTAGCAACACGCACGCGTAATGTCACCAACGATGTCAAGCGGAAGAGAAAGTGACTTTCAATTGACAAAAAATAAGAAATAATCCAGGCAGTTGACAAAAAGCAAGCTCCACTGGCAGAGATTTGTCGTCAGTTCGACATTCCACAAGGGTCAATTCACATCATTATAAAGGATAGAGAGAAGATAGTGGCAGCATACTCCAATTGAAAGTTTGCTCTGGATCGAAAGAAGATGAGACTACCCGATGAAGATGCTGTGGACCAATCTCTTCTGATGTGGTTTAAAGAGGCAAGGAGAAAGTTGGTGCCAAAACCCCAGTTTGTGGGTACTTGTGGCAAGGGAAACTACCCCTGAATAATATGTGCAGCTGGATTAGTCCACAAATGCTTACTTTCCTTGCATTTCTGATGTAACAGGGATCGGATATAACAGGACATTTTCTCTACTCCCACCATCCCTGTTATATCAGGTTTCCACTGTAGTTGTGTGTGTGTGTGTGTGTGTTTTTTTTTCTTTTTTTCCAACTAGGCCTATAGATTCTATCTTGATCTCAATAACGGAATAGCGGATCAGAATATCAGAAAAAAAGCGGAAAAGTGGCATCCCTGACATTGTTAGAGAGCACAACAGGATGTGAAAGGAGATAATTTTCCTTATCTCGATTCGAACCTGGGACTACTGAAAGAGAGGCGACCTTAACCTCTAGGCTACGAGAGCCCCTAATAAACTACTCCAAAAACATGTAAGAGAGGCAGTAGCACATTAAAACAACTGCTTCCTAGAAGGACATGCATTGTATGCGATCTGTACAGCACAAGGCACGGTCATTATTTTGGTACTGTAGCCATTACAATTGGAAATACTTTCAGGGTTGCTGGCAGACAGCACAGTCATATAAACAAATGCCATCTCTGATCTCTATGCTGTCATAAACAGTTGATATATATGGCACCATACTTTCTCAGAGTCTCACAAAACTACAGAAAGTGTGGAACCACCATTTCTTTTCTTCCACAGATCAGTGAAGTCAGCCATGGCCAGAACTCTTTTTATGTTTCACATGAGCACGTCTTAGCTGTCGAAACAGAGCAGACTGCTTTCTTTTCTTTCTAGCATTGAGCATAGCAGACCGGCTTTCATAATTTGTCTCACTACTATCTGAAGTCACAGAAGATTGACTTCCATCACCATTGTCGCCACTGTCATCGTTACCATCATTGTCATTTTTACTATAACCACCGTCATCATCTTTATTTTTATCCTTTACATCATCGTCATCACCACCCTTCTCCTTTGTATCATCCTCACTATCATCATCACTCCTAAGTATGGAACAGTTCTTGCTTGTGTTGTGTGTCTTTGAGCACACTGGGTCATCATCACTTTCTTCAGAGGGCTGAGTTTCCCCCTGAGAGAATGGTGCATCAATGTTCCTGACTGAAGATTCCAGTTTCTCCTCAGTCACTGATGAACCAGCTACACAGGCTTTTTCCCTTTCTTCTTTTTCTTCTTCACTAGAGCTTGACTGCAACTTGATCCTTTTGTGATAATTCTTAATCCGATGTTTTCTGGTCTGAAAGAGCACAAAATACAAAGTAATTAAAAAAACAATGACAACATTGCAACAATATTATTTTTTTCCCCATAAAAGTAAAAAAAAAAGGGTGACTTTATTTAGGCCACATATATACGGCCTAAATAAGCTCAAGCCCCCTTCCTAACCTTATTTAGGCCACATACGGGGTGTATCGAGGCAGATTCGCCCTGCCGCGTGCACGTTCACTAAACTACCTACTATTACGACAGTCGGAGGAGGGCCCTCCGGTCCGGGCACTTTGTGTACACGCTTTTATGCAACAAATTTAACCCAAAAGTCCATTCGGAGAATTTGACCTGTTCACTTACACAAAGTATGCCAAAATGGTAGCCTAGCTTTTGCTCCTATATATGAAAGAAAAACTATGGCCCTCATTTCAAACCATTGGGATTGAGCAAAATTTTACGCACTGTGCGTTGCTCTTACTGTTTTCATTATTATGATTTATTTAAAGGTATTCACTTGAGACAAAATTGAACTGAATTACGAGAAAGGTGCAACGTTGTGAAAGCGGGACAAACTCAATTCCTGTGAAAAGGGTAGTTTGAGCTTTGGCCTAAATAAGTCTACCTGGGGGTCTTCACAGTATATAGGCCTAGCATCTCTGTTTGTCGCTAATCGCGGCCGCGATTTTTGCATTTTCCAACAAAAAACAAAACCAAAAAACCCCCCAAAAAACCCAACCCCCCCCCTCCCACCCAACAACAACAAAACACCGCCCGGGAATAAGAAAAGCGGGGACAAAAACCTGAGAAATATACAAAGAAAAAAAGGAACCAAACCTCTTTACTTTTAGAAAAAAAGTTTGTTTTCACTCCTGCTTCACTTCGTCTCTTTCAGTCACTTGTTGACATCATGTTGATTTGTTATTTTCATGTGAAGAGTATACATTACATACTATTAATATTGCTGCTTCTTTTATTTTTCCCTCTTTGTCATGTTTTAATTTGTTGGTGTGTTAATTTTTTTGTTATTGTTCTGATGTGTTGGTTTTTTATTTTTTATTTCTGTGTTCATATAACGAAACGTAATTTCAGTTAAGTTGTTCCTACCTTTTTTTTTATACATAATGTGTTATGTTAGAGCCAGTTTCCACCAAAACCAAATACTGACACTGGCACGACCCTTGAGTGTGATTCCATAATTTACATGTAATATCCTGTACTTTTTCTTGAATTACACACGCTTAGGGTTAAAACGGCCAATCTTCGGATAGGTCGACATACGCCCTCCTTTTCTAGTTATGATTTCTTTCTCTTGTGAAACCTTTATTTTTCATATTTTTACACTCTGTGTGGCTACAAATGATATTCACGATGCTTAAAACTAGCACAAGAGGTTACCTCTATCAACATATTGCTATACGTCGTCACAGAGAGTTGAAAACCTGAAAATTAATGGCAACTTTTGGCATTTTTGTGGCAACTTTTGAACAAAAAATTGGCAACAAACGCAGATGCTAGATAGGCAGTATGTGGCCTAAATAAGGTTACCTGGGGGCCTGCATGGTATATAGGCCAGCCATATGTGGCTTAAATAAGCACCACCCCCCCCCCAATAACAACAACAAAAAATGAACTGAAATACTGTAGTGAAATTATATAAAAAATAAAAATAGAAGAAAAAACAAAACATAAGGGGGAAATGGAAAGTGGCCATTTGTACAGGTGGCCTTCATGGCAGGTTTGAGTGTACAGTGCCAGTCTTTATGATTGAAATCAGGTTTGTCAAGTTGAGCCCATTCTTAATCTTAACTCTAACATTTTAACATTTTGGAAACAAAAATAGTCCATTTCAAAGTGACAACTTTCTGCATGCTATTACAAAGTTGGAAATGTACAAAAAAAGTCTTCATAAAATCTTTTTTCTTTTTGTCTTTGAGATTGTGAACAATGCCCATTTGGTCCTAGATCTTTTATCATAAGAAAAATTATGAAGCAGCATGATTTGAATCACATTTTAGGAGATTTATCAACACTCATGACTTGAACAACAGTTTGAACACTAAGCCTCTACTCTATGCCGTGCATAGTTAAAAATACAAAATCTAGGAGAAGTTTGATGACCAATTACTTACTACATAATGAGTACTGTATGTTATTCAGCATGAAAGTATGGCACCAATGTGAAAATCACTTGTTCAAGTTCAATGGAATTAGGTGAAATAGTGTGTACATTCAATCTATTAAAACTGAATAAAAGAAGTTGTACCATGATGTAAAGGTGAAATGTTGTAAGACAAGACTTACAGTACATAAAAGAATGAAAAACAGTATCATAAAATAAGGTTACACTCACTATGTTTCATTTTGACTTTCTCAATTTTTAAAACTCTGATTGTCCATATTTTATGCCCCTATGACACAATTTAGATCATTTAGGAGGCGGACTGCTTTAACCCTGCCATTCAGGGCCAGCCTGGGCAGAGAACATTAAAACGTCCCAGTAAAAAGATGGAGCTACATGATACAAAGTTCTTCCTGCATGGGAATCCAACTCATATATTCCGTTTGCAGCAGCAAAGTGCCTAACTGCTATATCACAGCTACCCATTCGTACAATGTTTTCCTGCTTATATAAATATATTAATTATAAAGAAAGCGATCTAGCATTCACATGGCAAACAAATTTTCAGGTCCACAAGTTTTTCTCATTTAACATACATACTCATCATGTATTCTTTTTTCAAAAGACATAGGGCTTACATAATAACAAAACTTGTACATTATCATAATGAAAACATTTCCGTGTCCGGCTGATTTTCCTATCCACACAATAGACTGTAAAATGAACCACCTTTTCTTGCTTGGAATCATCAGAGTTTGAGTTATCTGAGGCCAAAGAGACATCATCACTTGTATCCTCATAGTCATCAAAGTTATAGTTGTTGTACCTGAGGTATTGAAAAATGAGCAAATGAAAGGAATGATTTCAAATCATTACACTTGTCAAACCTCGCTACACCGCTTACCTTGGGTTGGGCATGAAGTTGGTGGTACAGCGGGGCTAGCAGTACAACAGGATAGCACTGGTTGTCATCTTGATCAGTGGTAGACTGGTAGAGACTAGAGAAACCAATGTGGCCAGTCTTGACTCTTCCAGATCTGTCTTTATACAAAATGCGATTGCCATGCGCAGGGGAAAAGCGAATAGCAACCAATTACATTATGTACAGCTCCATTTTCTGCAGGATCAGAGGCTCAGCTATGCGCCAAGGACCTTGTAGACGTACAGTTTTTTTAAAATAACAAGATACTCATCAGTTGTTGTGCCGCCTCAAACCTATCAAGTCGATTTGAGCGCGAGTCCTCACGAAACAAAAGCCTCAT